AAATATACATAAAACACATATACAATATTTATTAGTGTATTCTAAATTTTTTAAAAATTTATTTTATTTCAGCAAAAATACCTTAACATATCTGTCTTCTTAAAATTTTAAGTGTGCAATCCTTCAATCTATTCTTCCTTCTTTCCTTCCTACTTATTGGTGGTACTAAGGGATAAACCCAGGGCTTCAAACATGCTAGGCAAGCACTACACCACTTAGTTATAGTCCAGCCCTACAGTGTTATTTACAACATCTCCAGGCTGAAAACAACCAAATGGTCAATAACATCTACCTGACAGAATACTAAAAAATCCAGAAACGTCATCAAAATGAAAATATTAAGTGATATAAATGAATTATCAAATTGCATGCATGCTTACCACTATACAATATATTTATAAGAAAACAATATACTGATTTATCACAATATACTCATTTACTAGGTCATAGGACTATGGGTGATTATCTTTCATAAGTTTTCTGAATGATAGTTACATAATTTTTCTTTCTTAAAAAATATACAAGACTTTTGAAACTATTAAGAAAACATGCAATTACAGGAAAATCAGGCTGATTATAATAATTTCAAGTCCAAAGAAATAGACAAATGCAACAAAGTGCAAGGAAAGGAGACACTAAACTCTAGATCTGAATCCTGGCTTCAGTAAAAACCAGCTGAACAACTTCAGAAAGCTACTTATAATCTCAGAACTTCTGTTTCCTCATCTAAAAAGTAGATCTACTTCTCAAGGAATCAATTGAAATGGCAGATTGAATATTTCATTAAACATAAAAGTATAATGCAGTGTTAGTAATCGTTACCTTAGAAACAAGGGCTGAACAAAAAGTCCTGTCCTGGGTTCTAGATATGACCAGCAAAGTAAGGTTTAAAGTATTTTACCCTTATTTCAGACTCATCTATTTTGAGGTTGTCACAAGCCTTCATGGTTGCAGAACACAAGACTCTATACATTTTGGCTTTCATGTAAGTTTTCATGTAAGACACTGGAGGTAAATTCACAGGCTTGCTCCTTACCATTCAGCAAAATTCAGTAAGTCTCTACTACTATACGCTGACTAATTGTAGAACAAAACAGACATGATTCCTACAACCTCTAAATTTATAGGCTGGTGCTCTCTGTCACTGTAGTCTTTAAGGTCTCTCTCGGAAGACTGTCAGAGTATGGAATCTGGAGTCCAGGATGAGGCTGTAATACTTTCCCTGAAACTATGTGACCTTGGGACATCATAACCTGACTGAGCCTCAGTATTCCCATTGGTAAAGTGGAGACAGTAATACCAATCTCATAGATTATACATGTGAAAAATAAGCATAGCACTTGGTACATGGCACTTAGTTGACACTGTTAAGTTTCCTTTATGCTCTTTCTTTTTCTGGGGTAGTCAATATAGGTTAAAAACAAAATAAGACCAAAAGCATACAGAATAAACCTATATAAACATATTCCTATAAATAGACTGCTAGTATGATTGAGTATTATATGCAGTCTCAACTATGTATACCAACCAAGAAAATCCACACCATCTATTAAGTACATACTTATCTTGGAAACAAATTTGAACTGAATGTGTTCTGAGACCAATGCACATAATCAATCTGAGTGTTATCTTCCTCGACAACAAGACATCAATAAATAGTATACTTTTTTTTTCTACTATAAGTAAAATAACACCTTATTTGGAAGTTAAAGTTTCAGTTATGTCTCCTCATTATATAACATCAGGAAAGATAAACTCTTTGAAGCCTCAATTCCTTATTTATAAGACCAATTAAAAGATCCACTTTATTTTCTCATACTTAGGAGGATCCAAGCAAAAAAACTCATTTCTATAAAATACCTTTCTAATCAGTAAAGAGTTTTATGTATAACTGTTAAAAAGCTTACTGATAAAAGACTTATTGGAAAGAAAAATCTAAAGTGAACAAAAAGCTACAATTGATGGTGTGCACTAACTTTTAATCTGTTGTAACTTTTCTGTAATGCCTTTAAAAATAGCATGTATCATAAGAAAGAAAGATAATAATAACCACTGCAAATAAAGCAAAAGTCAAGCAACTTCACTTGCCATATAAAACTCCTTATTGATGCCAAGATACTTTCCATTTCCACATCCAATATCAGCCACTATCGAACCATCTGGCAAAGCCTTCAAAAATGCCACAATGTGTGGCCAAGGAGTATGTCTCGTGCTGCTGAAGTGTCCAGCAATCTCCTCATAAACTTGATGAACATATTCTTGCTCCAGCTGTGATGCTTCTTTATCACTCTCTGGAAATGAGGGAGGAGTCTCTTTCCTCTGGCTGTTACAGACCAAAGAGTAATCTAAATGAAAAAATAAAGCAATATAAACCTTTCTTTCTTTATTCAAAGATACATAAAGTACCAAGTTTTCTTAAAATCAATGCAAATTTGGTGACTAAGGATAGAAAAGTTCTAACTTATCAGTTACATAAAGTTCTTCTCAAATAAGTCCAAGTATATATGCAAGGGAATATATATAATATAAAAAGGAGGAAAACATTCATTTATAGGAAACTGTGACTGTAATCTGCATCTGCCTTGAATGAAGATGCCTATTTCTTCTTGAGAGTAAGAGTTCTTTTATTCAAAAAGCATCTTTTTTTTTTTTTTTTTTTTTTTGTACCAGGGATTGAACTCAGGACCTTGCACTTGCGAGGCAGCGGGCAGCAACACTAAGCTAAATTCTGACCCAGAAAGCATCTTGGTAAGTAGAGCCTAGCTATGACAAATGTGGCTAAACAAGACATATAGTTTTTCCTTTACAAATAAAGGAATATGTACTCCAGGGACCTTAGTACTCTTAGAAGAACAACGAAATGTAGAAATAGTGTGTCCTTTGGTAATAATCACAAGCATTTACTGAATACTATTTGAAACAGTTTCTATGTATTGTCTCAATTCTCACCATAATATTAGAAGGCCTTTACTAATACAGCCATTTTGAAGATGAAGAAACTTCAGCAAAGAAAGTAGATAACATTCCTAAAATGACAGAGATATTAAATCATACAGCCAAAATTTGGACCCAGTAACTACACTATGTTGCCTTCTTCCACAGAGTGAGCAAACCCAATGGAGAATACCACCAAGTAGAGATAACACAGAAAATTTCTAATTTAAAGTCTCAAATTAATTTTTAAGTTGTTCCTTGTTATCTGTAATAATAGCTAATACTAATCGTATATTCTTGCCTGTTTTCTGCTATGCTATAATTTGTTTGTCTTCTGCCAAGGTCTGTGGCATTTATGTTGTTACAGGTACCATCCTAGGAATAAAAGAAGAAGTAGTATTTCAAGAGAAACCACAGACAAGATTGCAGCAATAAGGAGAAATCACATGACAGGAAAGAATTTGGCAGCAGTTTTCATGGCTTTGAGATTGGACATAAAATACAATTATTCTCCTTAAATATAACTAGATTATGTCAAACCTTGAGAAAGCCTAACCCCATGAATGGGCAAAGCAAATGCTAAACACTTTAAATGGATGTTTAAAATGATAGCCTCAAAAGCTTGAGGGCTCTGAAACATACATGTGGAAATACACAAGTTATATTACATTGATTATATTAGAATTACAAGTATACCACAATATATATTATAATTATCCTAAATTAATCTTAGTAAAATTTTATTGTCTTGAAAATTAAAAACATCAAAGGTGTCTAAAGGGAGGAGCAACTCTTTTCACTTAAAAAAATCTGCAAATTTTGACCAAAAGTATATAAAAGATGACCTTAAATTTTAAAAGGAAATCTTACTGATCATCAAAGAAATGTAAATTAAACCTATAAGATATCACATCACATCTGTTAGAATAGCTATTATCAAAAAGGAAAAAAATAACAAGAGTTAGCAAGGATGTGGAGAAAAGAGAACCTTGCATTTCTGTTGGCAGGAGTGAAATTAGACAGTCATTATAGAAAATGGCATGAAAGTTCCTCAAAACACTGAAAACAGAACTACTATATGATCCAGCAATCTCTTTGGTGGGTAACAGATACCCAAAGGAAATGAAATAAATATAGCAAAGAGATATCTCCATTCCCACGTTGATTGCAGCACTAGTCACAATAGCCAAGATGAATAGTCTGAGCGTCCATCAACAAGTAAATGGATTTTTAAATATGACACAGCCTAATACTGTTTATTCTTTATAAAGAAGAAAACCTTGTCACTTGCAAAAGCGTGAATGAACCGGAGGACATATGCTAAGGGACATATGTCAGGCACAGAATGACAAATACCACATGATCTCATTTACAAGTATACTATAAAAAAATTGCCTCAGAGAAACAGAGAAGAATGGTGATTACCAAAGGCTGAGGATGAAGGTGAAAGAGTTTTGGGCAGATGCTGGTCAAAGGACACAAAATTTCACTTAGAAAAATAAATTTAGCTGGGCATGATGGCGTATGCTTGTAATCCCAGCACTTGGGAAGCTGATGTAGGAGGATCGCCACAAGTTCAAGGCCAATCTGGGCTGTATAGTGAGTTCAAGGCCAGCCTAAACTGCATAACGAGACCTTGTCTCAAAAACTAAACAAAAAAACATCAAAAAATAAGTTCAAGATATATTTTTATAATATATGGTGACTATAGTTAATAATAATGTATTATATTCTTGAAAATCACTAAGAGATTGGATTTTAAATGTTCTCACTACAAAAAATTCTGTGATGCTAATTACAGATGCACATTCTAACTCTGTGATGCACATGCTAATTAGCCTGATTTAGTCATTTCACACTGTATACATATTTCAAAAGCATATTGTATACAATAAATAATCTTCCGTCAATTATAAAAACTGTAAACCGAAGACCCAATTGGAGCTTCTTAGAGTTTCTGTTACATTTAACAAATGTCCATAACTAAGAAACATTTGCATTAAGAACACTAGCTTATCTCTTGTCTTAGTCACCTTCTCGTTGCTGGAACAAAATACCCAACACCCACAACTTAAAGGAGGAGAGGTTTATTTTGGGTCACAGTTTAATTCCATTGTCACCTGGCTCCAATGAAGGAACAGGATGGCAGACGTGCATGGCAGAGGCAAAGATGTTCAACCCATGGCAGCCAAAAAGCAAGAGCAAAGGGAGGAGCAGGGGAGGGAGATCTACCCTTCCAGGTCATGCCCTCGAGGATTCACATCCAAGCAGGCCCCACCTCCTAAAAGCACATCTGGTGACTGAACTCATCAATGGATGAATCCACTGTTGAGTATAGTGCCTCATGATCCAATTACTTTCCATACACATGAGAATTCCAGGAGACATTTTAGATCTAAACTATAACAGTTTTCCAACTAGACTTAAGTACCTAGAAAACAGAAGGTATATTTTTCTATACTTTATGAGGTTATGAGGAGTGTTAAGCACTCATCAAACACTAAATAAGCATTTCTTCATTTTAAAAATGTCATTTTAGGGCCGGGGATTTAGCTCAGTGGTTTCACTGCCTGCTGCGCAAGTGCAAGGACCCAAGTTTGATCCCTGGTACCAAAACAAAACAAAACAAAGTCTCCAAAAATGTCATTTTAAGGCCTCTAAGACACTCAACAAAATAAGCAAAAACTTATTTTACAATTCATTACCATGAAGATATCAAATACTGAGATTTCAAGTTTTCTAATACAGTAACATCTAGGAAGCACAATAAGGGTTTTTAATTCAAAATGTTTTTAAGATTATTGTCGGGAGCAATGCTACACAATTTTAGGGAAAAATCATTTGGTTAGCCTAGTTCTCCTGCCTACAGCCCAGCTATGGCATTCCGAGATATAAT